CGCCCTCGGGGCAGCGCGGGTGGGAGAGGCAGGCAGCCTAGGCCGGCACCCGCACCCGTGTGTGCAGCTCCGTGAGGACGGGAGGGGAAGCGGATCCAGTGCCCCATGTCCTGCTCGTGCCTCGGGCTCGGGAACCCTGTCCTCGCCCTCGGCCGGGAAGGCGGTTTCTGAGCGCCCTGCCTCCCGCCTGCAGGGTTCCTGCTGATCCAGGCCTGGCCCGAGAACAGGACGGACCTGCACGCCTTCCGGAACCTGGAGATCATCCGGGGCCGGACCAAGCAGCAGTGAGTGCCGAGCCCGGCAGCCGCCGTGTGTGTTTTGAAATAAGACTCGCAGAGTATGGCCGCGATGCTGTAGGGCCTTGCTGTGCTCCACCCAGTCTCTCCTGGGCTGGCATCTCACGGGCGGTGCTGGTGTCAGAGTGAAGTCAGCATGGTCCCCGTGCCGTTAACAAAACGACCCCTTATTCGGGGCTCGCCGGCTGCTCCATGAACGCCTTCTGTTTCCTCGCCTGATCCGGTCTTCATCCTGCCTTTTTTTGTTGTTAATCCTCACCCAGTCATACTTTTCCATTGATTTTTTTTTTTTATGAGAGCAGAAGGGAGGGAGGGGGGAGAGAGAGAGAGAGAGACATTAATGTGAGAGAGACACATCGATTGGTTACCTCTCACATGTGTCCCCACCTGGGCCAGGGATGGAACCTACAACCTCGGTACGCGCCCTTGACTGGGAATCGAACCCACGACCCTTCGGTGCGTGGGCCCGTGCTCTAACCACTGGGCACGCCAGCCAGGGCCCACCTTGCATTTGGTTGCTGTGTCTCCTTAGTCCCTGCAGGTGTGTCTATCACAGTCCCCGTCTTTCCTTACCGGTCACGGCCTGAGCACGCTGGAGGACCGCAGCGCAGGCTTTGTGTAGAAGGGCTGACGTGTCCTCGTGATGGGAGAGATCGCAGGATGTAACGTGCAGCACAGGGAATATAGTCGGTGGTGTGGGAACGGTGGGTGGTGCCAGGCGGGTGCTGCAAGTATGCAATTATCTAACCACGTGCTGGACACCTGACAAAGCAACACTGAATGTTAACGGTCAGTGGGAACAGTAACAATGGAGAACCTAGGACCCCCTCCGGGAGGAGCCCAGCTTGTTCACCGCTGATGGGAGACCAGAGGAAGGGTTGCAATTCAGGACGCTCGCGGGCCGTGGGGACAGGGAGTGCAGACCTCCTTCCTGTGGTTCCCCATCATCGCAGACAACACCCCGAGCTCCTCTGTGGTGTCAGGTCTTCTGTGCTCTAGCCCCGCCCTCTCCCCGGGCCCCTCTCCGGCCTCCCTGCCTCCACCTTTCTGCCCCTGTAGCGGCCTGTGGCTCTCCGCACCTGCCACGCGCCTTCTTGCCTTCCTGCTTCTCCAGCTGGCCCTGGGCTTCCCGCCCTCCACCTGAGTCCCTTCACCGGCCCCCTGAGGGCGCTTCATCGCCCTGATGGACCAGCACAGTGCTGGGTGCACCTGCTCCCCAGGTCCGCCCCATCGGGCATCACCTCTTCCGGGAGGCCCCCTCCTGCGCAGCCTTCCCCAGGCGTGTTCAGGGCCCCTGCCCTTTGCCCCCACTACCACCAGACTCGGGTTCTGGGGAAATACCATCTCCTATGATTGTATCCCCACTAGAAAAAAGGGGCGCCGTCCTGAGAGTAGGAAATGTACACACGGCCTACATAGAATTAGATACATGTCACCTCACGTGTTTGTTCAGCGGCTGCATGGCTGGGTAGGTGGATGGGAAATGAACCTGTGGCTTTTGAAGTCTATTTGGATGTTTGAGAGGCTAGAACACCTCAATGCCCAGGCAGAGTAAACAGGCAGCAAGTAAATAATGGCATTGAGACCTTCCTTCAGCCCCTGGCTCGCCCCTGGGATTGAAGAGACTCAGCGGCCAGGAAACTGGCTTTTCCCTGGAGGGACTCACAAGGAAACACTTGCAGATTTTTTTTATTAATATGTTTTTCATTGATGTCAGGGAGGAGGGAGAGGGAGAGAGAGATAGGAACATCCATGATGAGAGAGAATCACGGATCGGCTGCCTCCTGCACGCCCCCTCCTGGGGATGGAGCCCACAACCCCGGCATGTGCCCTTGGCCAGGAATCGAACCGTGACCTCCTGGCTCACAGGCTGACGCTCAACCACTGAGCCACGCCGGCCGGGCCACTTGCAGATTTCAAGTTGCAATACGTACCTTGCGCAGTGGGACCGATGGTCATGGGGGGGTGGGGGGCAGTGAATCTAAAAGGGCCCAGGAAACCCAAATACGTCGCTCAGCGACGCCGTGTTGTTGTGCGTCTCACGGGGTTGGTTTCCTTCTCTCCGACGCAGCGGCCGCTTCTCTCTCGCCGTCGTCGGGCTGGACATCACGTCCCTGGGGCTGCGCTCCCTCAAGGAGATCAGTGACGGAGACGTGATCATCTCGGCGAACCGCAACCTGTGCTACGCAGACACCATCAACTGGAGAAAGCTCTTCGGGACCACGAGTCAGAAAGCCAAGATCCAAGGCAACAAGGACGGCAGAGACTGCAGTGAGTGGCGCGCGGCCGGAGGGCGGGCCCGCTGCTCCGTGCCTGTTCACGTAGAACGCCCCCAGGGCCACCCCCGAGCACGCGAAGGCCTCTCCTCCCCCTGACGCAGCCAGAGAGGGGCTCCGTGTGCTCCCGATGGCGGCGCTGCCACCTGGCGCCCGGCAGGATCGCTCTGGCGCATCCTCCTTTCCCAGGAGATGTTGGCCTTGAGATTCGGGCTGTCCGTTGTTCGCAATGCACAGGAGTGAGCTTGGTGTCGATTAGATGACATTTTAGCTATCGGTCCCCCTGCTCATTTCAGTCTCCGATGGCTCTAGCTCACACACACACACGCACACACATGCACACAAACGCGTGCGCCCGTGTGCACGCCGTGGAAGGAACCTTTCACCGTGGCGTCTCCTACCTGCGTCAGAGCCATCGCCAGCCTGTGAAGCCGGGCAGGTGGCGGCCCCTGTGCCGAGAGCCGGCCCCTGGAAGCAGACCTGCCTCCACATCCTGGCCCCGGTCCTTCCAGGCACCGAGGCCTTCGTCCACTTCCTCCCCATCTCTGGGCTCTGGCGTCCTCATCCACGCCATGGGGACAGTAACGATTCCCACAGCGTCCCGCTCTGGAGAGAATGAAGCGCAATCCCGAGTGTAGACCCTGGGCGCGGTGCCTCCCTAGCCCAAGGAAGCGAGCACAGCACACCTTCCCGCCGTCACCCTCGCTGTGACGTTAACCCACAAACCCCACCAGGCCCAGTGTGGCGCCCTGGGCACCCCGAAGGGAAAAGGCACCTCGCAGTCGGCCTGGGGGGCTGTTCTGGGTCCTGGCTTCTTTCAGGGCCCCGGCGTGTGCGTCAGCGGAAGACCCCGGCACCTCACTGGGGGGGGTTGTCCCAGTCATCCCTCGATCACTCTTCCCCTGACTGCGGTGCCCACTGTCTCCCCAGAGGCCCAAGGCCAAGTCTGCAACCGGCTGTGCTCGCCGCAGGAGGGCTGCTGGGGCCCCGCGCCCGGGGACTGCGTGGCCTGCCAGAACGTCAGCCGAGAGCAGGAGTGCATGGAGCGGTGCAACCTGCTGGAGGGGTGAGCGCTGCGACCGCGGGAGGGCGGCTGGACGGGGCCAACGCCGTTCCCCGTGCACCTGTCTCTCTGTTGTTTCTTTTCCTTTGTTTTGTTGGTTGTTTGTTTGTTTGTTAGCAACTGTTCATCACACATGGAAATGGACAAACTATTTTCCTGGCTTAATCCAACCTAATAATTTATCGAGTCTCTTTTTCTGGACATACCTTCTATTTTTCTAAGCTGCACAAAGTTCCCAAGATAGATCGCTCATCAGCGGTTCATCTGCCCAAGACTGTGGCCATGCGGTCTGTCCCTCGGTGCACCATTCCTGGCATGTCAGACTATGTTAACGCAAATGCCATCCCCTGGTTAATTTCTGTGTTCTGTTCAAGAAACAGTGAGCAGTGCAAATAGCTCTAAATAGGACCATGGACAAAGAAGTAGACAGCCGTTTAACGGTTGCTGAGTTTACTTACCATCAATACCAGTTACAGCCTGTCGATGCTGTGGGAGTCTTGACATTGATGCCAATCTTTGAATGAGAAAGTAAAATTGAAGAATAGAGCTCAGCAGGGGCAGTGTTCTAAATATATATCTTATTGATTTCAGAGAGGAAGGGAAAGGGAAAGAGAGAGAGAAACATCAATGAGGAGAGAGAATCATGGATCAGCTGCCTCCTGCACACCCCCTACTGGGGATCGAGCCCACAACCCGGGCATGTGCCCTGACCGGGAATCAAACCATGACCTCCTAGTTCATAGGTCAACACTCACTCCTGAGCCACGCTGGTCGGGCGGCAGGGACAGTTTTCTAAAAATTTAAAGAAAAAGGGAAATTTTGTGAGAGGGAAGAGCTGCTGGAATTGGATGGCTGTAGGAAGTTTTCCTTCTTATTTCACTGTCGGGGCCGCAGCGTGGATCCAGAAATATTCCGGAGCAGGTTGACAAGGTCAGGTTCATTTCTGTAGGAGCCATTAGCTGACAGGCCCTCCCCTAGCGGAGTGATCTGCATGCTAAAGAGTAGGACCTATTGGCGTACCCCTTGATACCACAGGTAGACCCCCTGCTCATGTTTTCAGTTTTCACTTCTCTTTAAAAAGACAAGGTCATTGCCCTGGCTGGTGTGGCTCAGTGGGTCGGGCACCGTCCCTTACACAGAAAGGTCACTGGTTCAGTTCCCGGTCAGGGCACCTGCCTGGGTTGTGGACTCGATCCCCAGTCCAGGGCGTGCAGGAGGCAGCCGATTCATGTTTTGCTCTCACATCCATGTTTCTCTCTTTCTCTCTCCCTCTCCCTTCCTCTCCCTCTAAAGATCAATAAAAATATAAAATAAAATAAAAAATTTTTAATCCTCACTTGAGGAGTGAGGGTATTTTTTCCATTGATTTTTAGAGTGGAGGGAGAGAGGAGGGGAGAGAGAGAGGAAAAAACATCCACGTGACAGGCACCTGGATTGGTTGCCTCCCACATGTACCCAACTGGGCCGGGGACCAGAGGGGATCGGACCCGCAACCCAGGCACAGGCCCTTGACTGGGAATCGAACCTGTGACCGTCTGGTGTACAGGCTGACTCTCTAACCACTGAGCCACGCCAGCCGGGGCTAAAATAAAAGTTTTTTAAGGCAAAGTAATGAAAGCAAGCACGTCGAGGTGCCAGGTCTTTCCTCCACGGCGCCTGGGGCCCAGCCGCACGGGTCCCTTTGCAGGACGGGCCCCCTCCAC